TTTACTAAGCATAATGAAGTGTAACATAAACAAACGGTGAACGCATATAATTATATGTATCATTGTGCTATAAAGAAGCCAGCCTATGTAAATATGTCAAAAGTGTTTGGTTCAGCAGGAACTGTGTCTTGAGTAACGGAATTCAATTGCTACAAATTTTTAGTGACAACTAAATAAAAACTTATAACGAACCGAAGTTATCCAATTTACCGAGAATAAGTGAAAGGAAAGAAAATCATGTAAGATATCAATAGAATCTAAAGCATTTAATTTAGATAACTAACGGTGATGTCATGGATGTTTTAAATATCCTTGACACACAGGATTGGGCGTCAAACGTCAGTATTGTTTTCGCTCTCTTGTTTGTGAAAATATATTTTCTGTCAGCTCGTCACTAGCTTTTGTGGTAAACGGCATTTATAATAATTTAATCATAAAATAATAGTGTAGAATATTTATAAATTTCTTCGTGGGCTTCGAAATCTATTCACCTTTGAGGCATCAGAAATATGTAGATGCTCAAAACATTTCTTTATAGTCCAACTTTAGATCGTTGAGCTCTATATTTGCATTATAAATCAATGCAAATAACACATACCGATCAGTTGCTTCTTAGATATTTCCGAAATTAGAGCAAATTTAACAAATTCTTCACTTTAATATCGTTTATTTACATATTGAAGTACCAACTGGCTAGACTTTTGTAAGCATCCTAACAGTTACCTACATCATGAAGTGAATATTTTGACCAAAAAACATGAAACGTTGTTTTTGTCTATTGATTATCAGTGAGTAACTACTATGATATTGCAATGTATATTACACATAACCTTTGTCAAAATACTCAATCTTTGATTTGACTCCCGAAGTAAATACGATTCATATTGAATTGCTTTTCTACAAAACATTTCTCCAGTTGAATAATATGTAAAAATATCATCACTTCTGCGTCCATAAAATATATTTTAAAAAATATGGTAAATCAGTACTATTCTACAAACCGTAGTTTAGGATTTTGATAAACACCAACCTGTAACACGAGCCTATTGTTAATTTTACAGAATTAATCTACTAATCTACTGTATTAATTTATTACAAACAATTTATATATTTACTGTTATGAGTTATTACCAAATGAACCAAATGCTTTATATCACTTACCAATAATGTATCATCTCTTTTCCAGACTACATATTACTATTTATTTGCGATATTAGATATTCTCAAATGAGACTTATCACTAGTAAAAGGAATTTGAGACATACCGTTAATAAAATAAACATTTTTATCTTTCAGGAGATCTGAAGTTTGCATCTACTTTGATTCAACTCATTGAATTTTATAGGTAAATGATTTAAAATCACTTAAACATTCTATAAGTAATGGATATCTGGTGTGCTATTGAATATTACAAACAGTAAAATATTTTTAAACCGTTGTTGAAAATGATATGGAGAGCAAATCAGAAGGAGCCTAATGAAAAGGTTAATCGATGGCAATTAGAAGTGACCTAAAGTTCAAGTTCATTTCATTGGGGTCACTGGGTCAATTTCCTAAGAATAGAGTACTATTTGTGTGAATGAGCATTTGTGCATTTCACTCGATAATCTAATATACTTTCTCGATCACTCTTGTCAGTTGGGGGCTTAGCGCGTAGCATACCATGTATACTAATGGTTTCAACTACCTTGGAAAAATATTATTCACTTGGCCGTCCTCATATACGAAACAACTATATTTGATTATTTTACGTTTTTGTTTATTTCTTGATATTTGCTGTCAACATTGGATAACATAAATCATGCCAAACTGATATGTGAAGTTATTTGAAATTTCAAGTTTTCATTATTTATCTAAAATATGAAAATACAATGCAAGACATTATGTATGTAATGGTTCAGATAATTTGTAACCAAAATTGTTACAGTATACTATAGAATTTAAAATGATGAAAAGAGAGGATAAAAAACAACCTTGAGGTATGGTTACATAATATTTTTTACTTCACATGTAGATACTTAATTGGATTGTATTCTGTTAATGTGTTCAAAAGTAACTATATTTATACTTACGCCTGTTACTCCTCATGAAGTAGCATAGGTCGTTCAACAGCACTCTCTACCCAACCCTGTCCTGGACAATCCTTTCCAGCTCTTTCCAGTTGTCATTCATCCTTTTTATATCTCCTTCTATTTCTCTACGTAATGTGCTCTTTGGCCTTCCACTTTTCCGTTTTCCTTCAGGATTCAAAGTTAGCGCTTGTCTCGTGATGTAGTTTAGTGATTTCCGTAATGTATGTCCTATCCATTTCCACCGTCTTTTTCTAATTTCCTCTTCAGCTGGAAGCTGGTTTGTTCTCTCTCACAAAAGGGTGTTACTGATGTTATCCGGCCGATGGATGTTGAGTATCTTGCGTGGACAACTATTTATAAATACTTTTACCTTCGTGATGATGGTTGCAGTAGTTCTCCAAGTTTCAGCTCCGTACAGTAAAACTGTCTTAACGTTCGTATTGAAGATTCTGACTTTGATATTGGTTGAAAGTTGTTTTGAGTTCCATATGTTCCTCAGTTGTGGGAATGCGGCCCTTGTTTTGCCAATCCTCTCCTTTACGTCTACATCTGATCCTCCTTTTTCATCGATACGTGGAGGATTCCATATTTTCCTGAGTTTCGCCATCAAGTTTAATTGGGTTGGTGTTTTCTGTATTGTATTTGAGGACCTTGTGTATTATTTCAATAACTAAAGTTATTAAACTATCTTAAAAAATCTACTTAATTCACTGCGAATCAACACAAAATATGGGAAAGTTACAGACAACAATATGACTATACTGTCTTATTCACATTGGAACATGAAAAACTTTCCAAAATAAATCAAGTTTGATATAAATCGAATTAATGTTATTAAATAAACAGTTTGAACACATACATAAACTGTAGACAAATTTATAAGTATTACCTAGGGTAAGTTGGGAGTTTATACCTAAACATAAACTTGTTTTTTTACCTGGATATTTTTAGACATAAGATTTATATTTAACTTAAATGTGAAATGATTTCCATAGAAGAATCCGATAGATGTGGGAATTAAAAACTGGATTAGATGCTTCGTAACGTTTAAATATATGAGCAAACTTTAATCCGTATAAATGTTATACTTGTTTATTTTACCACATAATTGTGTATCTTTTACTCAACAATAATTAGTTATTATACGTTTATTTACCATTTTTATGTATCTATTATTGGTAAGATATGTATCGGTAGCCTAAATTGTACTTTAGTTTTCGTCAGAGTTTACTGAACAGTAAGTTTAAGGAACTATAGCCATGAATAAAGTTCTACGATTGAAAAGAATCGAAACTGTATTAGTATATACAGGATTTCGTGAGAGAATATAGATAAATTTCAAAAGAAATGATCTGATGTTTTTTTAACTGTGTTAGCCTCCAAATGCTCTGGTACGCCAGAGAGTGGAAAGAGTCAGCTCTCCCCTTCGAAATGGATCACATGGCCACGTGTATACTCACTACCTCCTCGCGGCATTACTGTTGTCTGCAAAATTAAGAGGACGAAAACCGAATATCCGGCGACTTAACCGGGTCGATGGACATAGAGAGTCCACCTAGGGGAGTTGCAAAACCCTGATTACAAACCAAAGGTGCACATGGGATCCAGTATCCTGAGGGAACAACTGGCGTATAAACCAATCGTAGGTCACCGGCTACCATGTGACTGCATCTCCGGGTGTGGCTCCTAAGAAAGCCACCTGCTTCAATTCGGGCACATGGACAGTTTTCCAGCCCTCACACAAATCGAATGAATTATGCGTCGCATATCTATTTGGTGCATCCTTGTACCAATATCTATGTGTTTAAATAAATAAATAATATAAAGCAATTTGTCCCTTTTATAAATTTCGATAGGACAATGAGAATACAGAATTGATCTGAAAAATGTCATGTATCTGCGCTATGCATTTCGAACAATCTGGTCACACGTATACTTGTCAGGGCATTTGATATGAAAATTAATAAACGTTAATTAAATGAAAGTTCAAATAAAAAGTAACAAAGGGGAGAGAAACAATTTTACATCGTATTAAAAGAATAAGAAATTGTCGCGTTATCTTGGGCCATAGAATGACTTATGGATAGTTAAAACAGAGTTCTGAATTATCAGATAAGTAATCCGGTTGTAGATCAAAAGATGACTTCAATTTAAAAGAAAAAAATTGAGTTAAATAAAGAATCAATCTTAAAATGAAAAAAATTTCTTTCAACTACACCTTTAGACTAGAAAACGTTCATTCAATGAGAAAATGTTTAATTACATATTTTACTGTCAAATTAAAAATCTTAAGCTCATAAAAGACTATGTAATGCAAATTCAAATTTTTAGTCTCGTCGGGGAATACCTTTGAGAAGTATACACAGTTAAAATACCCTGAAAAATGGTACACTTTATAAAACATTACGTTGCGAATTCTATACCAAACACTGAACTTCATTTAGAATGTGCAAATGATTATTCTTTAGTTATCACGCATCTGCTTGCGCCTCACTGGATGTAAAAAAGCCACAGTAAAAAGACCCATTAGAAAAAAATGAGCAGCGAGAAAACCAAAAATAGGTTCCAGGAACAACTGAGGTCACAATTAGGTAGTTTTGAAAACGAGATTGATCTAGATGTTGCTTGGAAAGCTATACAAACAGCTGTGGAAACAGCAGTGACATCTATCAGTGATTTAAACCACAGGGCTACAAAGAACCAATGGATTTCCTCTAGGTCTATTGCACTGATAGATTCTCGTAAACTCATCCCATCAGGCTCTGAACACGATGAAGAGCGACAACAAATCAGATCTAGGTTAACTAAAAGTCTAAGGAACGACCGTGGCAGTGGTGGGCAACGAAAGCGAATGAGGTGGAAACGGCGGCGGCCATAGGGAACACAAGACAGCTCTACAGACTAATAAAAGAAACTGGAATTAATAAGTCAAGTGTAAGTCTGACTATTTCGGAAAAAGACGACACCCTCATCTGCTCTCAGTTCAGACGTTTAGAACGATGGGCGGAACATTTTAGAGAACAGTTCAGCTGGCTTTCAGCTACTCTACAACTACCCTCCATTCCCAGACAGTGTGAATGGAACATTGAAGTAGGTCCCCCAACTCTTGCTGAAGTTCAAAAGGCTATAGTTAATCTGAAACGAGGAAGGGCAGCTGGTCCAGATGGACTGGCTCCAGAAGTCTTTAAGGATGGTGGTCCAATTTTAGCGATTAGGTTGACTAATATTTTAGCTAAGATCTGGGAATTAGACTTTATCCCATCTGACTGGTCGCAATCACTTATCGTCCCAATATATAAGAAAGGGTCAAAATCATCCTGTGACAACCACAGAGGGATTAGTTTAACAAACATAGTATCTAAAATACTGGCCTCGATAATTATCAGACGCCTAACTAAGACTCGTGAACTACAAACTCGAGAGAACCAAGCTGGCTTTAGACCTGGTCGTGGCTGCATCGACCACATATTCACCATTCGTCAGGTTCTAGAACACAGGCATACCTATCGGCGTCCGACGATGGTGGTCTTTCTTGACTTAAAAGCAGCGTTTGACTCTGTAGACCGCGAGACTCTGTGGCAGTGTCTGTCATTGAAAGGCGTACCTCAGAAGTACATAAACCTTGTGAAGGCTCTTTACTCGAACACTACTAGTCGAGTCAGAGCTTATGGCGAACTGTCATCTACTTTTGCAACTTCAAGTGGTGTCCGTCAAGGCTGTCCACTTTCTCCATTTTTGTTTAACTTCATCATAGACCTATTGATGGAAATAACACTCTCGTCGACTGAATTCTCGGGTATTGATCTCCTTCCAGGAGGTCCACTTATCGACTTAGAATACGCAGATGATATAGTCCTGTTTGGTGAAGACGCTGATAAAATACAGAGTCTTTTGGTAGCACTAAGCAACAATGCCAGAATGTTTGGGATGCGCTTCTCTCCCTCTAAACGCAAGTTGTTGCTTCAGGACTGGTCTGCGTCAACACCTGAACTAAGTATAGGGAGTGAAGTAGTCGAACTCGTTGACAACTTCACTTATCTTGGAAGTCTGATCAGCCCTAATGGGTTGGTGTCTGACGAAATCTCAGCACGGATTCGAAAAGCTCGTTTGGCTTTTGCCAACTTGCGTCACCTATGGCGAAGGCGAGATATCCGTCTATCAATAAAAGGACGAGTATACTGCGCGGCAGTCCGTTCTGTCTTACTTTACGGCAGCGAAACATGCCCATTAGGAGTAGAAGACACTCGTAAGCTACTAGTATTTGACCACAGATGGCTCAGAAATATTGCTGGCGTCTGCTGGGATCACCGGATAAGTAATAGTGAGGTTAGACGCAGGGTATTAGGGAATGATGGTAAATCAGTTGACGAGATTGTCAATCTTCATCGACTGAGATGGTTGGGCCACGTGTTACGTATGCCCGAACACTGATTACCACGAAGTGCAATGCTAACCGGTATTGGAGATGGTTGGAAGAGAGTTAGGGGCGGCCAAACCAAAACGTGGCATCAGTGCTTGAAGTCACTAACTTCTAGTCTGAGCCATGTTGGTAGATGCAGACTACTTGGTTGGGGTCCGCGTGACTATCGTAACCAATGGTTGAAGACTCTTGGTGACATGGCTCAGAATCGATCACAATGGCGTCGGTGTATACACTCCCTGTCTTCCCTTAAACTAAGAGATTAAAATCGCTTCATATCTTTCTTTCTATGAACTAGTTCTATCTTCCTGTACTATATCCTTATTGCAATCTTTCTTTTATATATTACCACCTCTGAATTAACTACTTTTATGAATCCGGTGTCCATCTTATTGTGTTAATGAGGTATGGCAACTTTGACCGATGGATATATGTGCCTGGTCCTACGTTGTAGCTGACCGACTGACTGATTCTTTAGTTAAGTACATCAAACTCGTGAAGCGGTTATTTTTAAGCTTGTCTTGTCAAATCTGAAAGATGATGAAATTAATTTAATAAATATTATTCTCAGAAGAGGTTTTGTGGAGATTTTAGAAATTTCACTGATTGAAATCATGGCTCAGTTAAAGCTAGACCACCATGGAAAACCTGGAAGCACTGGATGGCCATTTCGTCCGACTACGGGACTCCTCAGCAGTGCGCATCCACGATCCCACACCCTGCGAGATTCGAACCCAGGACCTATCAGTCTAGTTGGTTAAGCGTCTGGCCCGAGACTGATAGGTCCTGGGTTCGAATCTCGCGGGGTACGGGATCGTGGATGCGCACTGCTCAGGAGTCCCATACTAGGACAAAACGGCCGTCCAGCGCATCCAGGTTTTCGATGGTGGTCTAGCTTCAACTGAGCCATGATTTCAAACAGTGAAATATTATTCTCTTGATATTATTGTAAAACATTTAGGTTTGTCGAAAATACTGTAACAGACGACAATACGATTCGAATTTCCTAATTTCTTAACAACACTGGTTAGGTGCATGCATTCATTAGTTAATTTTAATGTATAATTTCTGAGATACATGGGTTTGTTAAGTTATGTAAGTTAGGGATATCTAATTTCATTAGATAAAAAGATTGTTCAGAGATTTATCTATAATTAATTACATGGAGATCACATGATTTCTATAAAATGTCGTCTTCTCATTACATTGTATAATTTGAAATAAATTATATCTCTGTGACAACGATTGCTCTTCAGTTACTATCAGATCCATGAGATAAATGTTCACCAATAATCTTAAGGACAAATAATCTCATTTGACCAAATCTATGTGCGTTTATCAATTTACTAGATCTTGTAGAGCCATGTGTACATGTTGTTTGATGCGTATTTAATCCATTAGAACTCGACAGCATAACCCAGCTAAGCTGAAAAGAATTGGGAATGGTTCGACAAGAATTTCAATAGTCGAACATCTTGTAATCACAAGTCATTCAATCAAAGCTCACTCTTTGTTCAAAGTCAGCTACAAACTAAGCAGAAAACTGTCAAAGACAATTATATTCCATCTTTCCAGCATTGTTGAAGCACCAGCTATATACCTGGAAAAATCAGAAAAATATGTCAAAAAGAAACTTTTACAACCTCTTGTTCTATCATGTTCTTAATCTTTCATAAGACCAATAAGTTACCGATTTCTGCATTAGACTTTATTTTATTAGACAAAAATTAAATAATGTTTTAGTTGTTGATTAAAAACCTACTTAATTAATAGATTTAAGACAATATTATTATTATTATCATTAGAAGCTTTATTCAACATTATATTTTTGGTACAACATAGAATTCTCAGCATAAAGTATTTCAACAAGTTTCCTTTTCTTATACCTTGATCTATTGTGACGATAAATTTTGAATGATGACCGGTTAGATGTTAGGAGTTCGGTAATCCACATTTGATTAATGTTCATTCGTTTCAATGCATATTGCCAGCCACCATGATGTCGCTGCGTGTACCTTTTTGTATCACGTATAGCGAAAGGTTGTAAACTTTTCATAAGCGCGCCTGAATAAATTGTGCGCACAATAGACATAATGATGTGCTAAAACAAACAACAAAACAGATAACTTGATGAAATATCTAGATCGGAGGAACAGGTAGCCCAGATATTCAAGCAGGCCGCCTAGACATTCTATCTTTTTACTAAATGGTATGTAATATTATTATTTTCATGTTTCTATAATTATATTGTAGAAATACATAAATAAAATAACCTAGCTAATTTTATAATCATTACTTGCTTCTACTGAATTCTTGTACTATGATTAAAATGTTGCTGAATTAATTCTAGTTTCACAAAACTATGTAATATCTAATGTAGTTTATGTTCAAAATTCAATCTATTCTGTTAAATATCACCATGACAATAATTGTTTTAAATTTAAATTCAAATAAATGACTCAACACCCAATAAGATGTTGAATACTGTTAATTTTTGAAACTTTCAAAAAGCATAATTCTTCACTCTAAGTAGTTATAACCTAAACATTTCCGATATTTAAAAGTTAATAATCCATCAGTAGTGATAGACACTAAGCAATGTATGCAGACTGTTCATTTAGGGACTGAATTAATCACCGTAAACGTTTTTTCAGTCGAATTCATTGTTCAGGTAACATAGCTTCAAATACATAGCATATTTACTGTAATTAGGTAGGATATGTTTTTTTTAATAATTACCATAATTTACAAAAATCGTTACAACGTAATCAAATTACCAATACAATGAAGTTTGCTTTACATGAAAGATTAGAAATATAGTTTATATTATTGAGGCTCTTGTCATAAAGAAAATAAACCAGCTTTTAGCTGAAGAGAAAATTAGGAAAAGACGCCCAAAGTGGACAGGACATACATTTCGGTAATTACCAAACTAAATCACGAGGTAAACTCTAGCTTGAGATTCTGAAGTGGAATGGAAAAGTGGAATTGAAAGCAGACATGAAAAAGATAAATAGCAACTGGACATAATTGGAAAGGATTGCTTAGGACAAAGTTGGATAAAAAATCATGATGGGTGGTCTATGCTTTTATTGAAGGTATAACAGACGTAATTTAATAAGTTTCGTAAAAAATCCCAAATTGTGTATCAGAGAAAACGGATTAAACTATTTCTTCAAACTATTGTTATATTCAGTAATGATTTCGAACAATCAATTATCTCTTCTTTATAATATCCCTTTCTGAAAATATTTCATTTACATTATCATATCACAGAATCCGTCTTGCTAATAATTGATCGGCATTCACCTTTCCAAATAATTTTGTCAGTTCTTAATAAGAATAATCCTATCGTGCTATTTATAGTTTTGTGCAACATTGTTCAATTAAAATGATTGAAAACTAACATATTGTGAATTACTATTGCCACAATAGAACATTGTTGTGATTGTATAGTTTTAAAGATGACATGTATAAAAACTAAATGTGTTTTGTACACTAGTTATTGTTTTTATTTTGCTTTAATAAGCACTTCAGGCCTTTGTTTTAAATGTGAAGGTTTTAATAGCACCCAAACACTAATTTTGTATTCAACAAACATATATATATATATATATATATATATATATATATATATATATATATATATATATATTCACTAAGAAACTTTATGTATTTGGTTACAAAGAGATTATTTTCAATCTGTTCTGTAGACACCAAAACGGAGCCTAACAGTTTTTGATATAAACATATATTTTCATTATTTTTCTATAGTTGCCAGTCAAAATGAATAAT